AGGGGGCCCTGCGCCCCCCGGCTTGTACCGAAGGAAATAGCAATGCCGATAATGAAATAAAAGTAAAGTAAGTAAAGCAAAATAAAATAGAACAAGATTAAAGTATAATAAAAATAATACTAAAATAAAAATAATATTAACATAAAATAAAAGCTATGAAGTGTCCCAAATACTCTGGAACTTGTGTTCCCCCCTGGTCGGGGTGGCCGGTGCCTCCGCTCGCCCATGGGCCCCCAAGCATCCGAGCAGCTCGGTGGTATCGCAGCAGCTGGGGGGCCCGGTCGGGCTGTGGGGCCCATTGGTGCCGTGGGGCTCGCGCCCCCCGAGGCGGAGGGCTCGTGGGAGGCGGCCCTGGCCAGCCCCGTGTCCCAGCCAGCCCACAGGCTCCGAGAGAGCCGGCCAAAAACGCTGCTTAACCACCAGAGCTGTAAACAGCGTCGGCCGCTGCAGGAGCAAGCGCGGGATGGGAAAGGGATGAATCCCAGTGAGAAGTGCGTGTGTGCACCCCCACGCCAGCTCGGTGCCCTTGCTCCGATGCTGATGGAGGCCTGAAGAAAATCCAAACCTTCACCCAGATCCTGTCGGCTCCAGCTCCCCACGCCTCATCTTCGCTCCGCTCCGGGTGATCTCTGAAAAGGGACGAATTGTTCAGGATGGATTTGGGTAAGGGGGATATTGCCCACAGCCCCCAGCAGAAACAGGACCTCAGAGTGGAAATGGAAAGAAAATGCTGCTGGATGGGTCCAGGACACTGCACTCAGCCTGAGGAAGCCGGCAGCTCCATCCTGGGAAGAGAAAACCCAGTGTGCTGGGAGCACCTGGGTTAATTATGCTCCTGGGGGTTAATTATGCCTGAGGAGGAGCATCCACAAAGCAGGAAACATCTCCCTGTGGCCATCAGCATCCACAGACTGAAGATGCTGTGAGAAGCGGTGGGATTCGCAGTGGGGGCCCAGGGACCCCTTGGCTCCGGAGGGGCCCCTCACCCCGGGGGTGCTGCCAGCTGGGCCCTGGTGTCCGGGAGGAGGGCAGGGAGCCCTGCCCGGGCTGCACAGGGTCCGTCCCCGCAGGCCTGGCCACCCGCCTGGCCGTGCGCGGGCGGCTGCTGCCACCTCCTGGCCCCAGCGCCACCGCACGGAGCCCAGCGGCACCAATAAATAAAGGGATTTTCTAGGGCTGGTGTCCCCAGCTGCAGCCTGGACAATCCAGCAGGTCCCCTCCACCAAGTGAAATAAGGGCAGCATTACTGCCCCTTGCCCTGGGGAAACTGAGGCACGGGCAGCCGAGACGACCATCATGCAGCCACCACAAAGGAGCTTGCAGAGCCCAAGCCTGACCCAGCCCTGCTGAAGTCGCAGTTATTCCCAGCAGAGAATAATTATAATTTCCCCCTTTCTACTGATGAAGATGAGGAGGGTAGGATGAAGTGGGCGCCACGTGCACACGTGCTGCACGCTGTAAGCACCCCCAGCTCGCACACACCACATGCACATGCAGGCCGGGAGCCTTTGGCTCAGAGCATCTCACACACCTGAAAATAAATCACGTGGGGCTGTCACCACTGAGCTGAGCTGGAATGACATCTTGCAAGCAAGTCTGGACCGTGCAGCTAAGCGCTGAGTGCAGGCTGTCCCCGGGGCTGCCGCCGTGCCCGCGCCGCTGTCCTGGGGCCGGCCGCTCGCTGGGCTCCATCTGCAGGGACATGGGACCTCGGTGGCACCTGCAAGAGCAGCAGTGACGTGAGAGCCGCCGGCCGCGGCAGAGCCGAGCAGCCCCCGAGCGCAGTGGGAAGCCCCTTCCCACCCCAGCGCCTGGCCTGGACACCCTTAAAGTCCTGATCTTATTTAGCTAAGCAGTAAAAATCTCTTTCTTTATACCTGTAGATATTTATTTTTTCATTAATCTCTCATCGTGCAGCAGCCCCCCACACACACGCATTGACGATGTCTGCCCGGGATGCTGCAGGCTCCGCGCAGCGCGGTCCGGCTCCGGCTCCGGGACCGGCAGGTGGTGCCCGCGGCCCGGCCTCGGCGCCAGCGCAGGATTGGGCCCAAGCAGCTCCCAGCGGGAGCTGGTCCAGGCCAGGCATCCCCCTGCATCCCGCTGCAAAGAGCAGATGGCAGCGATTTCCCCACACGGAGGGAAACTCCCTCCTGCCCCTCAGTGACACCGGCACTGGCTGAACTTCCAGTCAGCGCAATTTTTTTTTTTAGACGAATAAAGTTGATTTTGGATCCAGAGCTGGGATTTCCGCGCCATTTCCGGCCCTCTTTCTCCACCTCTTCCTTGAAATTTTCTTTCTTTCTTTTTTTTTTTTTTTTCATCAAAACCTTTGGGAAGCCCCAAACATCGCCTGTTTTTCTCATTTTAAAAGCCTTAGAAGTGCTTGCAGAAAACAAAGAATAATATATAGAAAAAGAAACACAAAGTATGTGTATGCGTGTGCTGTGGCGGGAACATACAACCCCTCCAACCTTCCAACACTGTCTATTGAACTGATTTCACCTGCTGAAACTGCACCTTGCAGCCCTGCTGAGACCCGCCAAGCTCATTGCACCTCTCGGGCAGCCGTCGGGACACACTGCCTGCCCCACGGTGACACTGGTGCCGGTACCTGCCATGGGTTTTGCCCCCTCCAGGTATTTGGCAGCTGGGGCTGCCCTCCAGGC